CAAATGTGTAACTGAGAAATTCATTTTGGATAGGTTACTTTTTAATTGAAAATTAATTTTACTAAGTTTATAAACAGCATTAGAATACTTATAGTTTAAGAATAACTGTTTATGTTTAATTTCTTAGATACACTAGAAGGATTTAATTGGGAGGTTTTTGTTTGTTAGGGCAACTAAAATGCTAAAGAAAGAAACTTAGGGGCAGCTGGCTGGCTCAGTCAATACAGCATTCCACTCTTGACTTTGGAGTTGTGAGTTCGAGCCCCACCTTGGATGTAAAGATTACTTTAAAAAGAGGGGGCGGGGTGGCACCTGGCTGGCTTTTTTTTTTTTAAGATTTTATTTATTTATTTGAGAGAGAGAGAGAGAAAGAGAGCACGAGAAGGGGGAGGGTCAGAGGGAGAAACAGACTCCCCGCTGAGCAGACAGCCTGAAGTGGGACTTGATCCCAGGACTCCAGTATCATGACCTGAGCTGAAGGCAGTTGCTCAACCAACTGAGCCACCCAGGCTCCCCACCTGGCTGGCTTGGTAGGAGCATTTGACTCTTGATCTCAGGTTTGTGTGTTCAAGCCCCATGTTGTGAGTGAAGATTACTTAAAAAAAAAAAATCTTAAAAAAAAAAAATCAAATAAATTTGTAAATTTAAAATATTTAAAATTTTATGTTTGTTGACAGATGGATTATTAAAAGTATCTAGTTTGGGGCAACTGGATGGCTCAATCGGTTGAACGCCTGACTCTTGGTTTCAGCTGGGGTTGTGATATCAGGGTCATGATCTCAGGGTTGTAAGATGGGGCCCTGCATCAAGCTCTTCACTGGGTGTGGAGCCTACTTGGGATTCTCTCTCCCTCTCCCTCTGCCCACTAGTGCTCACACACTCTCTCTCTTTCAAAAATAATAATAATAAAATAAAATCATTAAAAAAATATACCTAGTAGGGCACCTGGGTGGCACAGTCGGTTAAGTGTCTGCCTTCAGCTCAGGTCATGATCCCAGGGTCTTGAGATTGAGCCCCACATCAGCAGGGATCCTGCTTCTCCCTCTCCCTCTGCCCCCCAACTTGTACTCTCTCTTTTGCTCTGCGCTCTCACTCTCAAATAAAATCTTAAAAAAAAAAGTATTTAGCTTGTGCAACTTAAGTTGACTGAACATTAAACCCACTGAAAGTTAAACTAAAGTTAATAGGATTTGTAAATTGAACTTGAAGGCTTAAAGCAAAACTAGTTTTTCTTTTAATTTTCTGTTTTAATTGTTAATTCACTAATAATAATAAGTAGCCTTTACATTGAGAAGCTTGTCTTACTGATAACTTCACAATGATAGATATGTGGAGTAAGAACAGAATATGGAATAAGTCAATCAGAGAAAGACAATTATATGATTTCACTCATATGTGGAATTTAAGAAACAAAACAGAGGATCAAAGGGGAAGGGAGGGAAAAATAAAATAAGACGAAATCAGAGAGGGAGACAAACCATAAGAGACTTTTTTTTTTTAAGATTGTATTCATTTATTTGACAGAGAAAATGAGAGCACAAGCAGGGTGAACAGCAGAGGGAGACTGAGAAGCAGACTGCTGAGCAAGGAGCCCGAAACAGGGCTCAATCCCAGGATGCTGGGATCATGACCTGAGCCGAAGGCAGGTGCCATCCTAAGCCATCCTAAGCCATCCAGGAACCCCAAAAGACTCTTAACTATAGGAAACAAACTGAGGGTTGCTGGAGGGGAGGCGGGTGGGGGGATGGG